TGCTGTGTTGTTCATGACGCATTACTCATCATGTTCATTCATAAATTTCCTACACAGTTTTTGGGGCGCGCCATTGTATCCACGACTTTGAGTGAATGACTGACACTTGTGACTGTGGCATTTAGACAAAGTTACACCTCGCATGAGACAAACATGGGATCCAGTGACACAGCCAGTTCATGCTAAGTGCGCAGCTGCTAACGTGGGTGACTGTGAAGGGGAAGCCTGCTCCCGAATGTGGGTGCTGGAGCTCGTGCGTCCACAAGTCCAGATAAGGACAGAGCAGGAGGTGTGACAGAAAAAGACACCGTGGATGGATCTCCTACATTACTCATTTGTTTATCGGTGGATCATTGGCCTGTCTCCCGTTCATGTGTGTGTGCGGTTACCATGCGTGACTCCTCCCTTCATCATACTTCATCTGTTTCATTGCCTGTGGCCTCCCCCTGCCGAGGTGGGCAGTATATAGCCCTACAGGATAAAATAGAAGTGATTACTTAAAAGGCATATGCAAAATTACAATATTATGTTTGACTGTATAGCATTAAACATATCTATGTGCATGGAGGCAAGCAGGTGGTGTAACCAGGTCAAGTTACATACATCTGTGGAGAGGCTCCTCCAATAATAATCCAAATAAATGTTTTTCAAGGTAATTTAGCTAAAAATGACTAGTAACTGAATAAATAAGAGATAGATACGTTACAATGATAATTACAATGATAAGCAAGGCCGGGCCTGGTTAGTACTTGGATGGGAGACCAATGGGAATTCCAGGTGCCACAAGGGGGCGCCAGTCGCAAAAACTAACTCGTTGTGTCCTTAGGCAAGACACTTCACCCACATTGCCTAGTATGAAAGTAGTGTGTGCGTGAGTGATGGTGGTAGTCGGAGGGGCCGATGGCTCATATTGGCAGCCTTGCTTCCATCAGTCTGCCCCAGGGCAGCTGTGGCTACAGTAGTAGCTTTCCACCACTAAGCGTTGAGTGAATGAATAATGAACTGTAAAGAGCTTTGGGTATCTTGAAAGGCACTATATAAATGCAATGATTAATTAATTAATTGATTAATAAGGAACATTTCAAGTAAAGCACTAACATCTTCATAAAGACTAGCAGGCAATGGACCCTCTACCAAAAAAGTTACGTGGTGTACCTAAGAATACCATCTATAATAAGAAAGCAAGCAGAAAGCTGCAAAAGGTGATTCATTTTACAGTCAATTCATGTTATGCAATACTTGAGCCTCAACCAAGTCAGTTTTAGACATGTATTTTTTGCATGTTTCCGATGAATACATGAAAATAAATGTTTTCAGTATCACTTATTTTAATTTTCCCCATCCAGTTCAACTCTAAATTCCCTTCCAGACAAAATTCAATTGAAAAAAAAATAAAAAAAAATCAATATTTGTCCAAGGGCACCGCTTAGAAAGATTTGCTTCATTCATGTCCCGGCTGCCGTCAATGGACTACAGAGCGCAACTGACTGGATAATTCAGATTCATATATATTCAGGCCAGACAAAGCCCTTGACCTTGGGAGTAGTTTCCACTTAGAAGCACTTCACAGTCAACAAATGTGATGAAGGAAAAAACTAAACAGAAATACACAGAAATAACAAACATATCAAAACATTCTTAGTAAAAGTCCATTACTAAGTACGGTCTTAAAGATTCTCTGTGTAATTTTTCTGGTGGAGAGTCCATCACCTGCTTCTGTCCATGGAGATGTTGCCTGGAATGTTCCACAGTATAGCATTGCACATATTTATCTCTATGGAGACAGCAGCTGATGCCACAGGGCCAAGTAACAGATCTGACAAGATAGTCAGGAAAAGGAAAAAGCAAGCCCACTAACAGTGACAATGCAAGATTTTATGTAAATAAAAAAACATGTTATTTAGTAAATACAAAATGGATATGTTTAATGCCATAACCGGGACACTCCAGACAAAGCAATAACATTTCCATCTCCACCAGAAAAGTTACACAGTACATCTTTAAGTAGTGGCTTATAAACTGAAAAGTAGGCTTCAGGAGATTAAAAGAGGTATTCAAAGGAAATAGAAAAAAATGGAAAAATAAGTAGTAAAGTCACTCTTAAAAATGACTATTAGAATTTAACACACACAATCAGTTTTTTTTTTACTTCTAAACTATGGTTGTAATAGCATTAAAGCATTAATAGCAAGTAAGTACGTAAGTACGTAAGTAAGTAAGTAAGTAAGTAAGTAAGTAAGTAAGTGAGTGAGCGTGTGCTGCCTCCAATAGCCAATACACTGAAGAAGTCTGTGACACATGGCTGCAGGTGTTTATAACTGTCAGACCGTTCTATTTTTCCTCAGGTGTCTTAACCCCGCCCCTCCTCCCTCCTCACTCTCCACGTCAGTCCTCCAGGCACTGTCCATTTTAGCAGCACATTTAGACATTTAAGCTGCGGGTGAAGTTATAAATCGGGTTTAAATTAAAATACAATATTGGTAAAAATTTAGCTGAGTTCTTTAACTGGTGGTGTAGACAGATTTTTTTTCTTTATAACTTTCTTGAAGGATGAATAATAATGAATGAATAAATTAACGGTGACAGAACTGCAAACTAACGTGACAGCTTTTTTTTTTTTTTTTTATTACAGTGTGGTCTTTCTAGTCATGTTAGTTTTTATATACCACCCCCAAACTTGCTCTTTGAAGATGGTTGTTCTATGGCTCACCACACTGTTAGAGCTTTATGAATATTTTATCCTTTAAGTTCTACAGAATCATTGTCAATTAACATGAGCAAAAGTCCACCAATTAACACGGATATATTTTTTTAAAAATAATAATGTCACTCTTTATGATCTTGGAAAAAAACATATTGCAATTTTTCTGACAAATATTGTGATTGTGAGATTTGCAATATATATGTTTAAAACTATAAGATTCCTTTCAGATAGCGTATTTTATACAACTTCAGGAGCATTAACATTTTAGAGAAATATAAACTGATAAATTAAGACAAAAATCTGCTCTAAAGGTCTAAAGTACAGGTACAATATTTGTTTTGTAAAAATACAGTATATTTTGTTCTTTGCACGGGACATTTGATTATCTTAATAGTTGCAACCTTTGTGATTTAATAACTGCATCAGCTCAAATTGTGTTTTTGAGTGGATTGCAATATATTTTGTACAGCCCTATTCTGCAATATGGCTCCCTATTTGTCTATCACAAATAGGGGTGTGTGTGTCATGTGCATGTTTAAAGCTGAATATTTAAAGGGTTAATAAAAATATGTCATCTCCCGATTTCTGCCCAGAACATGGCGTGGGCGGTTTGTAAGCAAGCCCACAGTGATTTTTGCTAGGAGGCGCAGTCCATGGTGCTGAAGAGTACAAAACCTCAATTTCTTTTTAAAGTTATTCCCAAATTGCTCTTTAGTTTGGAAATTTCAGATTATTTGAAGTTACAATAAAAACATTTCCCCAATCAACCCAAAACATGCACCATAGGTAAATCCTCTAGCTAAAGTAGTCCTGACCATGCCAAGCAAAAACATCAGACACTTATGGAAAATTGGTACACTGGCACAACATAACTTTAATCTCAAGTAACAAGACGTTTGATCTTTGAAAAACTGCTCAAAAATATCAGGTACTATCATAATAGTTTAACTTGAACAAAGCATTGTGCATCATTTGAAGGCTACACTAATAGAATAAAAAGAATCCACTGCTGCTTTGTGCAGAGCTCTAACAGTGGACACTCAAAACAGCGTTGGACACAAGCAGCGACAGCTTGAGACAAAGGCACTGCTTCACTTGAAATAGAATGTGCTGTAGTTTGGTAAGGATGGATTGCATTTGAAACTCCTAGGTCCAGTTGCCCTTAAATCTTGACACTGTACAATACTTAAATAGTAACAGAAAATGTAACGAAACAGTTGTTGTGCTGACAAAGGTAAATGGACTTGGCAAATTTCCAATTAATTTCAATGGATACCATTAGAAGTCAGCTTGACTTCTACAATCACTTTATACACAAAATACTGTAAATCTGCTGTGGAATTAGTTTGATGATTTGCTAAGTGGTACATAAACGTAGCATTAGCCATTCCAAGCAAGAGTTATCATATTTTGTGGGCACAAAACATTGGAAAGAACTTTTTAAATATATTAAAATTACACTGTAACTCTTGTACTGTAACTGCAACTGTATGTGTAAAAATGCCACATGACTTGCTACCACATTATTGTTATTTAGCAATTAAATTATATCTTATGAGTTATATCAGTTGAGCATTGCGCTTATTAACTCAAAATTAAATAAAAATATGCATTTTAATGTCCTTAATTGGTCAATTTATCCTCACTGACCAGTGTCCACTCAGTGCGCACTGAGCCACATTATCTCATTCAACATCTCTCATCAATAATTATGTCAGTAGCTATAATTAACAAGTCTGACGGTTGCCTGGAGTTTAACGTCCACAACCACTACACAAAGTGATGTTTTGGGCAGCTCATCCTGGCACGGGCCCGTCTCTTGTGGCTGAATCATAATTCGGGGGCATCCTTCTCTTCCTAAACACAACCATCTAAGCCATTTTGTACATCTCACTGTCTGGCCCAAGCTCACCGGAAGCGGGCCATAACTGTCTCTCCTCGCGCCATTCAGGAAACGATCATCTTCTTCTCCTACCCATCCTCTTTGCGCTCGTGCGTGCGTCTGCAGTCTCCTCCTCATTCAGCCTTACGCGCGTATGCCAGCCTCTCCAAAGAGAATCCCAACGGTCGGCCCCTCCCCTTTCCGTCCCCCTCCGCCCGCACTGCCGTTCTGACCCCGGGACCGTGACGTAGGAGATTCCGCGGTGCCCACTGCCGTAGGCGCAAGCGGCATGGTGCAGTATATATGCGCCGGTCTTAGTGGCTGTCTTCACTCTCTCAGTCGCTCCGACTCGGGAACCAGGGCATCAGCGGAGATAGCAGGCTTATATTTGGTCTTTTAGGCTAACTCGCTTTGGGCTTTTGGTTCAGGATGGAAACCTCTTCGATTTTTCGGAGCCGACGATGCTCCATCATGCGCAACTGCAAAAGTAAGTTTGTCACCGGCTTCTCTGGCTTTGACTCTGGACCATACTCTTTGCAACTTGTTCACGGAGTTTCCAAAGGATTAGGAGAAACGTATAATGTATTTTAAAAGCTTTAATATACTTGATATAGGGCTATTGCTTCTGCTTATTTGTGCATTGTACTCAGTTTGGATTTCATACTTTACGCACAGTTTAAAATTGTTCTTTTTTCAATAATTTCTGTTATGTGTTGTTCTAAAACGTAGAGACGAGTGCTTGATATTGATATAGACTCAATCTTATTATTCTACTGAGAAATAAGGGCTATGTTTTCAGTGTAAATGTTACGTAGTTGTGCGTAAAGGCGGTCAGTGAAACCTGTGCGCGCACTTCAGTATCTGGTTAATGTTTGTACTTGTGTTAATGGTCACATATAAAGAATATTATGAGATTAGTCTTAGAAAAATGCAGTTACAGTTCCCTAACAGCTTGTGATGGACTCAGCACGCACAAACTCACCCGTTCTGTCTCTGCTGCAGGCGGTCTCTCCTTGTGGCTGGTGGTATGGATGGTCCTTGGCAAGCCTAGTTCGGTGTCTGCGTGTCCGCAGAACTGCGTGTGCTACCCTACACCGATGACTGTGAGCTGCCAGGCGCAGAACTTCACCGCCGTGCCCGTGGGAGTGCCCTACGAGTCACAGCGCGTGTTCCTCCAAAACAACAGGATCACGGAGCTCAGAGTTGGCTCTTTTGGCTTTGGGACTCAGGTAAGCACGGCTTCAACGGTTTGTTTAGTGCACAAACAGCTTCAAGGAGTTAATCAACACGTGCCATCTTCTGATGCCCGCTGAGAAGTTTGTGTGGGAGGTTTGTGTGTCACGGGCACCTGCGTCTTATGCAGTCTGCAAATCTGATTTTATGCTTAATGTGAAACTGTCATAACGGACTTGTATTTATCTGAATGCAATCCCACTGAGGCATTTTTTATTCTAACTGACTGATATAAAACCTGACTGATATAAAACCTTTTCAATTATCAACCTTATAGTCCTTGCACTAAACCAAATCTAATGAAGAAATTAAAGCTGAATTATTTATTTTATGACATGCACTAAATACAGTTGTTTGTCTCAGGTCCTGTGGCTTTTCTCGAACAACATCACGTGGATTGAAGCTGGGGCTTTCAGTGAGCTGAGGGACTTGGAGGAGTTGGACCTGGGGGACAATCCTAGCCTCCACAGACTGGAGGGGGGAGCCTTCCGTGGTTTAGAGAAACTGCAGAGCCTCCATATGCACCGCTGCAAGCTCACTGCGCTGCCCCATGACATCTTCCACAAACTCTACAGTCTGCAATTCCTATATCTGCAGGTAGGGGCGCCATGGAGACGTGATGCAATGACTCACCCACAACACACAGGCAACCAAGTTCAAACAGTGCAGCTTTGAATCAGTGTATGTGCTGAGAAAATGTGTAATGAGTTGACCATAAAACAATGCAGGCTAATCTAACTTACACCATAACAAATTGTTTCACCAACTTTCTCCAACAATTGTGTTTTAGGAGAACCACCTTCACTTCCTGCAAGATGACATCTTCTCTGATCTGATCAACCTAAGTCAGCTCTTCTTGCATGGCAACCGTATCCGCACTCTCTCCGAAAATGTGTTCCGAGGCCTGGTCAACCTGGACAGGCTGCTTCTCCATGACAACCGCATCCGCCAGGTGAACCGCCGGGCCTTCAGAGACCTGGGCCGTCTCACTATGCTGTTCCTTTTCAACAACTCTCTGGCCGAGCTGCCCAGCCAAACACTGCGGGACCTGCAGGGCATTGAGTTCCTGAGACTCAATGCTAACCCCTGGTCCTGTGGCTGTGAAGCACGGCCCGTGTGGGAGTGGTTTCGTGAGGTACATGTTTCATCGTCTGAAGTCATCTGTGCTTCTCCCTCCACTCGCCGCGGCCAGGACATGCGCTTCCTTCGGGAAATGGACTTTGCTCTCTGCCCCCTGCCCGACCCTGGCTCCATCGCTGGGTCCACCACAACCACCTTCAGCACCAAAACACGCTGGTGGTTCCACAAAAACAAGCCCCAGTCATCCACCAAAGGTGTGTTTGAGAAGGCATCAGAGACAGTGAAGGCTGGTCTATATGGCAAAGGGCCCTCCACCACCACCTCTGTAGTGAAGTATGAGCTGGGCGAGGAGGAGCTGGCTCTGCCCAAACTCGACCCAGAAGAATACTGGGCCAATTACGGCAATGAGGACTCTGGCATCACAGTGCGCTGCTTCGAGCTTGAGTGTCCGCCTGAGTTTGACCTGCCACCCTCCTCCTCCGCCTCACCCTCTGTATTGTCCATTCTCTCCTTATGTCTACTCACAGTCCCCATCCATCTGCTGTTTGGTTGAAAGACTCTTAGCCCCTCCTTCGGCCTGTTTTAAAGCCACGGGGCCCCTGTCAGACTGTCTACACCCCCTTTGCCTGCTCTGCCTTTAGTAAAGGTGCAGCGAGAGAGATGGGGGGGCGCTTAGATTGTGAATCTAGCACTTACAGGGCTTTATACTTTCAGGGCTGCTAAGAGTACTTCAGCTGTCATAGATCAGACACAGGTGAGCCTCACCTGTAAGACGTCATTACTCCCTGTAACCAGGGTGCTGAGGGCTGAGTCCATTGGTAATATCAGCGCCAATTGATAAAGAATGATCTCTATCACCTCAAACTAGTTCCAGACCACGTACAACAGTGCATTTAGTGCATCCAATGCCTGGCTGCTAGAGATATACTGATTACTGTTAGAATCAGAGCACAGTAATGACGATACTGTAACCACTTAAAGTGTCTTGTAAATAGATATTGTGTGATTAATATGGTGTCTGTAGTCCAGCACATTTTTACCATTTAGAAATTTGATCCTGAAAACTGTGAAGGCTTAGTGCTTCTACTTGACAGAGCACAATATGCAGGGCAGAGAGGATGAAGATGGCAGAAATAATGTAAAAGCAGATACTGCTCAAAAGATTGTTTAGAAGGTTAATATCAAGAGGGATTAAACAGAACTGATGCAGCAATAAGAAAGCCGTGAGGAATACAGACAAAGTGTCAGTGCTGGCAGTAGAAGCAGCATCCTGCAGGTTAAAAGTAATAAAACCATACATCATTCACAACTTTCTGTAAATATGGTGTCTCTAAGACAGACTACCACTAGGAAAGAATGCTTCCTGCTGGAAGCTGGGAAATTGTATCTTGGATGTCTTTCTGTGACATATTGCTATAACGTGTTACGATTGTTAACTTGAAGATCTTAATATAAAACACTGAATATTTCCTTACTCCTGTTGTCATACTTTTTCTTTACCTGTTTGATTCACTTATGGGCAGCTCAAACAAAAACTTTAAAAAGTTGAAATAGAAGAGCCACAGATGTCTGTGTGTGATCCCATCATGACTAAAGTGGTCGAAAGGTCTCACCACATGGGCTCACAGTCACAGCCAGCGCTGGTCAGAATAGCTCTGGGCATCTGTCCATGTGTGGATAAAATGAGATGAATGGATTCACAGGCTGGCATCGCCGCTAAAGGCAAATACGTCAATAGTTTGTCACTTGTTTGACTCATCAATGGGCCGCGCCAGATGGACAGCCGAGGTGTAAATTGGCCCGGCTTGTCAATACGTTAAGGGAGATTCTGCGGAGTTTACAAGATGAGAACTGCAGATGAAAGGCTTACAAGTCAAAACAAACAGGCAGATGCAAGCATGAGCTCATGTAAGCTTGTCTGAATGTGGGGTAAAAATAGCAATCATTTTCAAGGCCAAGTAGGGCAATATGGGCACAGCATCAGTTGATCCCCATATGATACAGCCTTGAAGCATGTCCCAGTGTTATCTATCCATTCAATTATCTCAAGGATTGTAAGGGTCTCTGCTCAATTATTGTGTTGCGCTCAATATATAAAGGCCTTGGGTAGAAATAGCAACATTCTTTGACAACTTAAAGGGAATGTTCAGTGTCCTGTCTCTTCAAGTGTGGTGGATGAGGTTCAAACTGAGCTAGGGTGCTCTTCAGTGGCCAAGACAATGAGGTCGCTGTCAGATGACCAAAGTGCCAGTTATACCATTCTCCCTATCCTTTGTGTTCACTGTGCACGTCCAATGTTTTGTATGGGACAATATATGGAATATATTGGCGTATTTGTTATTTTTTTTTTTACAGTACTAAAAGACATGTTACTGAAAGAATAAAGAAAGAAAATAAATTCATACTTGTTTTATCAGAAGCCATTTGCGTGGGAGTTCATTCTATGTCTTGGCAATTGTTCAAGCACCCACATGCACACTGGCGTAACACTGTCCTTCAGGCATTTGTCCAATTTCTCCAGTATGTAATATTAGCTAAAGATAAGAAACCATCAGATAACATCCATATCTTTATTTGAGCAGAACATTTAATTTTTGTTATATAATATTATTAGATAAACAAAACAGGTGAATCAGATCCCACATAACAAGTAGTAGATAGGAATAATAAAATGCAAGCTCATTAACAACACCAAGGATCATACACTTTAAACTGACAGGTTATTCATAATTAACATGGCTGTATTACATGGATTTATACATCCCACATAATGTCATTTGGAAAGTCTCTATGTGAATATTACTTCTACATCAGCTTGTCTTCATGGAGAAGGGCATTTAACTTTATTGACTTGCATTAAACCAATTACAAGTGTTATACTAATCAAAAATCACTTGAAAACCATGCATTCTTACTGTGAGCAGAATTGTCTGTAAATTTGCCTGGTTGCATCACCCGTTTGTACCATACTGTGATGCAACAGAAAAGTTACATAGTACACCTATCAATTTACAGGTTTTTCCATAATAAACTTGCTTACGCACCTCCATAATGCCATTCTGTTTCAAAGTTTATATTACTTCTATTAGCCTTTATATTAGACTATTATAGATTTTACTTATATTAAAAGGAATGAATAACTTAGGTAGGTGGAGTTTATTTATTTATGTTTTAATGTGACTATTATAATAATTAATACTTCACATTTCACAAAACAGTACTTGCATCCTTTACCTAATATTCACATTTGTGTATGGAAGGGCATCTGTTATAAAATGACACTATGCAACACAAATCACTGCAGACAATAAGGTAGGCAGACATGCTAAACTGAGCTGAAATTACAGATGAATTAGAAAGAATCTGTCTGTAAATGTGAACTTCAATGACATTACTGTGGCAGACATGCGGAAACTGCCAATGTCCCAATTAACCTTGCATTGACGGTGGTGTCTAGTAGTTTGAGGTCATCCCACTGTGTTTTTGTCACTCCTTTCGTTCTTTTCCAAATGTGAACTTCTTTGTCCAACTGTATGTCTGCCAGACTGGATTGTGTGCGCAGACAAGTCAACAAAGCAAAACATAGAAAGTGTTGGATTGGCAAGTGTGAACTCAACACTCCCTCTCTCACATACGGCTTGTCATGTCTATATAAGGAAGAAAGCTGCATTTCAAAGCTCTTCCCTTCACATTCCCATTGGTCTCTGGGGTTCTATGCAGCTAAAAAAATCAATGACGCACCTACTTTGTCGACAATGGACTCTGCTAGTTAATTGGACTATCACGATGTCTGTCAAATACATAGTAAAGTAGGTGGGATAACTGTTCACTCAATAGAGAAATATTAGTCCTGCCCACTTTCATTCATAAAAGAAAAGGCATTGGAAGCTGTGGGTTGGTGTGCGTCACCGTTTTGTAACTATAAACCCCACCTGCTCCATCCAATCACGTTCATAAACATTCAGTAACAGTTTTTTTCATGCGTAGACACACTTTGTATGTATGCTCAGAGGATCGGAGCTATAACAAGCCCTCACCCTTTCCCAGTTTTCTCACATACTCCCTCTACTGGTAGTGCTACTGACATCATTGTCCGCCTTCGCCCCCTTTGAATTCAAACACATTGTTCCCTATTCTCTCTAAGGTGCAACTTACAGCGCTAACAGCTCCTGACTGATTCATAGGTGCTCTCTCACTTTCTGAAAACAGGAGCAGTCATGTCCCCCCATGTGTGCGTACATCTGTTTTGTGTAGCAGCTATGACTAAATATCTGTTATTATCTGTTAAAAAATAGATACTAGACTCATCACACTATCAGTTTTTTCCTGCTCAAAGCCATGTGGAGGGAAATATTTCCATATGAAGTACAAGAGGAGTCGACTGGCACTAAGAGAAGCAAAGAAAGACTTGTGATCTTCGCGCAGTAAAACAGCAAAGCTCCCTCACTAAGAGGGAGCACAAAGCAAGAACAAAGGAGCTACATGGGGGAGGTTGGCAGTAGTGTGTTTATGTAAGTTTAAGATAAATGTAAACTGCTCAACTGGATCACACGTAAACATCACCATTAAAATCTGCAGTTACATACATAAAAAGTACTGTGCTGTTTTGCATTAAAGGTGCTCTAAAAATAAAACTGACTTATGTATGAGACTCCTCAACTCCACTACTGTGAATCCTGCATGTGAACAAATGTACCTGTGCTTGTTATGGTACTAAGATTTCAAACTTGTTTTCAAAAAATGTAAATGCTTGATACCTGACACTGATTTTGAACTCTCCACTGAAAATTGCTTCTGTAAAAGTGTTGTTGTGAAATTCTTAGTCTGCAATATACATTTTGGAGAGCTGAACAACAAATACCCAGCAAGTAATACTTTTTGAAATGTTAAAAAAATGATAATCAAAAACAAGAATAAACACCAACAGAGCTCAATTACAACTGTGAATACACAGACACACACACACACACACACACACACACACACACACACACACACACACACACACACACACACACACACACACACACACACACACAAACTGAAAAAAATCTTCTATCTTCAAAAATCCATCTTTTACACCATTGATTTTCAACCAGTGTGCCAGGGAACACTTGAGTGCCTTGAAGTATTGCCAGGTGTGCTTAAAAAAATAATTTCAGTCGTTATTTCACACATGCATTTAACTGAATTATTTACTATTCTGTGAGCATCCTGAGCAACTTCTGAACTAGCTGAGAAAGCAAAATGATGATCATTGCCAAAAGAAAGAAAAAACCAAACACAGGGCCAAGGAAAATATTTGATGTAATTTGGCAGTATTTCAGTGGGTGGTGTCATGTAATCTTTTTAATAAAAAAGTATGCCATGATGCAAAAAAGCTTGAAATGCTGTTTTACACAACAAAGACAACACGATTGAACATGGCGAGTATGGTCAAAAGTGCACCTGTCCTTGTCCCTGTGCAGTGAGTCAGTGGAGGCAGAAACAGACCTGTGTGAAGCTGTGTATAGACCCTTCACACTTTTCACAAGAGCTGCACCACTCAGAGCCACAGCTTCATCCACACTATTATCTAAGACCTAATTATTAGCCATTACCACTGACCATAATGGACCCTCACGTGCATCACTTTGGTCACGATTCTTGTTTTAATGCTACAATATTCCACAAAAACACATATATCCTTCAGTGGGCAGGGTAACCTCTGTACAGAGGTGACCAATAAATATCCAGGTGGGGTCACCTTCATGTCATTAGAGATATATATCTTTCCAAGCAAAGCAATAACATCTCCATGGAGGCAGTTGAAAAGTTAATTAACTTATAAAGGTGGACTATGCATCCTTTTGGACAAAATATAACTGCTCTATAATGTAAGTTAGTGTATATACTGTAAGTTAGCATCATGTATAGAACCCTCGTCTGCAAAAAATGTAAAAGTAACAGGTAAGTAAAATGTATGAAAATGGAACTGGTATTTTTATGAAAATGAGTGAGAAATCAGTGAATTATGCCAAATGGTCAGTATGTTGCTTTTACTTTGTCTACTTCACAGTATCATCAGTTTGAACAGCACGTCTGACTGTCTGGAAACTTGCATAAGATTTTTCACACATATTCAAAGTCTTACATAATTGGACCTAAGGGCCTCTGAACAATCTTGGCTGCACACGTAGTCCTTACTCCATCAGTGTCAGTGTACCAGTAACACCAGTTGATTGATGAAGTCATCTTGTTATTGGTCATAGACACTCATTGCCTAGATGTACCCTTGCATAA